TGTGACAAGTGTATAACTGAAAGTTTTCCTCTGTGGTTTTTGTGTGTTCCTGCAGCAAACTGCAAAGACTGCAAAGTTATGCAACTCCAAGGCACTGAGTGTATGGGGAAGCACTGACACTGTTACTGACTTAGTGCAAACTCCTCTTCTTGTTGGCGGAGGTGTGAGGTTTTGGTAAAGGTTATCAGGAGCAGGGAGGTGAGCCAGTCAAAGTGAAACCAGTGGGATTGTTTTTATCTGCTCCAGCTGTTGGTGCTTCAAGATCCACTCAGCTGCATTCACTCGCTGTGCTATGTGCACACTCGCTCAGCTTCTTAACTTGACACCGCAAGTGGTGATAAATGTGTGACAGCAAAACAAACGATGTGACAACCACAAGGCAACAAGAATGCAGTGCGTAGTGAAGTGCTTCCAGTTTTGACTTTACTCTGTTGTCTAACAGTGATTCACGTGGGATTAGAGCGTCTGTTCATGTGTGCGGCACTGGCTTTACAACAGAAGCAGGATCCACTGAGGACACAGGCTCGACCCATATTAGTCGTCACTGGGCTGCTCTGTGCAGGGCCCTTTTATAGTAAACTGGCTGAAGTGCAGCGTCTCATGCTGAGACAATCATAAATGGGCTCTTGTTTGTTTGCAGTGTTCCAGGTTGTGTGCGCCCAGGTTGGAGATGTAGATGCAGATGTGTGTGCTCCTCAGCACTGAAAAATGATCTTTGAAATCTTCACCAGCCAGATTTCTTTTAGCAAACACTGGGCTTCATGCATGAAGCACCTGCACAGACATTTTGTCTTAAGTGGAATCTACAACTGATATTGAGGGTTTTTTTATTTTCTTATATTTCTAATTTTCTCTTATGTACACATGAAATTACTTAGTTATTTTACACGTAATATAGAGCGAGCATTACAGTTCTGAATAATTTGGAGTTTGAATATGCACCCCCATAAAATCTCATGTCAGATTAAGTGATTTCCAACAGTAAGACTTAATAAAGCAGTTCTCTGCTGTGAGAACTGGCAGTTGTTAGGCAACAGGATTTGTTTTCTTGCTAAGATTCAGATGAAAAGACAGAGTTCACTCACTTCCTGAAGTCTTACTGTCACCGTGAGGTTTCCTGGCAACTTGGCCTGACTCCAGGAAGTGACAGCTCCTGGCCAAGAGGTTCGTAAGGCTAAAACTAAGTCAGTCTAATCCAACAGTCCTGCAGTAAATTCTGCTTCATGTTAGTGTCAGTGTTTGTGTTTCACAGGGCTGGTGATTCAGCTGGGTGATCACTGCGGAGGCCACAGTTGGTGCTGCTGTTGAATCGACTTCTTAAAACTTAACATGAGACGGTTGAGTTCCCAAGTGAGGTTGACTGTCTCAACGTTAGGGTGAAGAATATTTGTTTAAAACAGCTGCACGGTGAAGTCGGACATGAATTGTAAATTTTTCCCCGCTGCTGTTAATTTTCCACCTTAAAGATGAGATGATTATAATTTTCCTGTGGAAAGCTGTTTTGTCCCACATGACTTGAATGCAGCACAAGAATGAAACTTCTTCCCTGGAGTCTGAAGTAAACAAATGATTCAGCAGACTTGCTTCTGCAGTATATACACAAGATTAATACAGAAGCCGTGTTGTAAATCTTTGTTGTTAGGCAACAGGGAGATGGTAACGACGGCCGCTCTCAAACAATGTAATCATCAGTCCAAAGACCTAAGATTGAACTCATGTATCTTAAATTAAAACTCAGTACAAACATGGTCAGAATCTGCACCAGTCTGTAGTGGAGCAGCCGCAGTCTGCAGGAAACGTTGGCTCACACCTGGAGAGTCGTCGCCTGTCGCCGTTCAGCTGCAGCAAACCTTGGTTGGTGCTCGAGTGGACGCGTGTCTCTGGTACTGGCTTTAGAAAGTCCTCAGACCCCTTCGCTTTTTAAGGACTTTACTCTGTTGTGTATTTACTTTTAAATGGATGAAATCTCCACTTTTGTAGTCAATCTGCACTCAGTTACTCACAATAAGGTGAAAACATGTTAGACTTTTTTGCAAAATGAGATTACAAACTGAAATCAGTGATTCACAGAAGTGGATGCTTTGCTGTGGTCAGGTGTCGAGAACTCAATTCCGCCTGTGGCAAACTGAATTCAATGTACACCGATTGGAAATTTGATCCATTTATAATTAAACCTACAACACAAAGTGACTGTATTTATGTACCTTTCAGAGAGCAGGATACTTCAGGAAATCAAGCTGCTGTTCAGGCTCAGCTTCACCTCAGACTCGTTCAGTGTCACAGTCAGTCGACTGGGCTGAAACACAGCACCTGTGACATTTAGCATGTTTTATTTTAGCCCATTGGTTTCAGAGTTCACCTCAGACTCGTTCAGTGTCACAGCCAGTCGACAGGGCTAAAACAAAGCACCTGTGACGTTTAGCATGTTTGATTTTAGCCCATTGGATTCAGATATTACAAACTTACAATTCAGAATCCAGACTGTGATGCTTGTGCACTGGTGCAGTGTGTGAGGAAGCGCAGAAGAGCAGCTCTTCCTCAGGTGTCTGAGAGCGTCACCACAGACGATTCCGTGCAGAGGGATATAGCAGGGTTTCAGTGAATAGACGCCTCGTTATGAAAACGAATGCACATTTGAGAGTTCAGTGGTGCAACAGATGTAGAAGAAAGTGAGATGTTCAGATGAGGCATCCTTCGCCATGTTCTCGACAAGTCAGCAGGTGCACGTGTCTGTAGCTTGCACCAAGAGAACGGTACTGGCCTGAATGCTCGACCCCTACACTGGTGGAATCCAGTGGCTCTGTTCTGCTGCACGGTCTGGGACCACTCGACACCTTAGAGGGAAGAGCCTCTGCAATTCTGGTGGCACGTGGTGGCCCAGCACCTCACTGAGACTCTCTGTTGGGTGTCCAAAAACAATCCTGTGAAAATATGCATGTGCACATCACTTCTGTCTTGTTTCTCCAACAGGTGCCATCCCATCAGGTGAAGATGAAGGTGGACGACAAGGGGCCCTCAAGAGGATCAGCGCCATGTGGTCCTCCTTTCGCAAAGGCAAACGGGACAGTGAGTGTTTCACTTCACAGAAAAATGGAGCAAGTTTCTGTCAAAGATCACGTTGTGTAACTGCTAATATTTTCCAGTTGTAGGGGTGAGGGGCTGGGGAATGCTGTTCTTGCAATTGTTGTATTTACTTGTGACCTGAATCATGCTGGGTCCTTTCAGTTCGGATGACATGCCTCTGTGTTTATCAGGTGTCACAGCACAGGAAGTGTTGGTTTATTCTTTTTCTGCTACATCTAGGGCAGAGGCGCAGGTTTGAGCCGTGTGTTGAAGAGTCGGGCGTAGAAGGAGAGATGTATACATCATGATGCAAAAGGTTAAGGTGCCTGCAGGTGTTTTGAAATCAACAAATAGTTAGTAATTTAGTTGTCCCACTGATTTGACTGCTTATCAACAGTGAGCAGCTGGAGCTGACACACATCAAGGAGCCAGTTACTGTACTTTAAGGCTCAATCCCATTTCCTGTGTTTTATCCCAAGCCCTTGTTTGTAAGTTAACCCTCAAAATGGAGTTACAAGGAGTAGTTGAACTCTTCCCCTGTAAAGTAGGACAACCCTTCAAGTCCTGTATGCGTCATCAGTACTTAATGACACTAAATGACCGCTAAGTAAACAGACGTGACTGGTTACCTGAACTGTTGAATCACACAGTGCCGTCTTTGATTTCAGGCCACAGACCTGACAGTGAGTTCACCTTGAAAGGCACCACTGTGTTATGAGCCACTACAGGTCAGGGACCAAGTGCTGATCTAAGGAGGGAATAAAAAAATCCTTTCCACCTGGATTACAGTGGTAACCCTGCGTGCTAAAGTGCAACGTATTTCTGCATTTGTGTGCAGGAGTCCAAGAAGCTGACCCCACAGATCCACCGTGCCCGGAGGTGGCAGACACCTCATCCAGGCAGCACCGCTACGTCAGTGGCCAGTACTTCTTTGAGTATCTGGTGGTGGTCAGCCTCAATAAGACCAAGGATGGCAGCGGCTATGAACCTCAGATCACCTACCAGTTTCCCAAGGTCAGTTTGATGGTTTGTTGCAAGATCTGGATCAACATCAGCTGTGGACACATGTACCGGATGTGGAGGACAGTAGGCTGACGAGAATGATAAGCAAATTAGCGACAGTTGGTCAAAAAGCGGGAGCACATTGTTCTGTGACTTGGGGATCAGCGAGGCTCATTTATAAATAGAAATAAACACTTGTCTGTTCAGAGAATCTGTAGCTTCTCTTAGAGCTTACACTTTACTGGTGTTAAGCTTTGGCTGTTTACACTGAACTAAATGAAGGCAGCATAGCACCACCTCTCTGCATCCCAGTACTAGCTGTGTCATTTAACGTGACATCGAATGTGACCTATAACCATGTATCCAACACACACGTCATAAATACAAAGCATACTGGAAACGCTGCTTGTCAGATGACCAGAGCAGCGTTGTGCTTCTGCTCATCCTGCACATTCACAACACGATTCAGGCCCCACGTTGCTGTGCACACTGTACATGTTAATGATTATGGTCCCAGATTTAATCTCTTGTGAGCAAAGTTAAAAAGTAAATCCCCCCGGGGCATGGTGCAGAAACAACACTTCAGCAGAATGTCACACGCCACAAGCTGCCTCTCCCCTGTTACGCAGACGCTGAGGCGGTTGAGCCAGTTTTACTGCCTCTGGTGGTGGAATAGAGCGACCCCCAGATGATTTCATACTAAGACCTGGATGACTGAGAGTTTGCATGGACATAGGAAAACAAAATCTGTCCACTTTCAGAGAGATGGGATGGCGAAATTTCAGAAGGAGGAGGAGGAGAAGACGCTGAAGGCCATCACCTTGTTTTGTTTTCCAGAGGGCATCAGCTGGGCTCCTCTAACTGAATACCACAGGTACAACTGCTGCTTGCCTTCTCTTAAATTGCTCACACGTTCATGGTTCGCTGTGCATCAGTGTTCATCACTTCCTCTTCTGTTTGCAGTGAGACCTTCTCTTTTGTTCTGACTGAGATCGATGGCAGCAGAAGAAATGGATACTGCCGGAGGTTACTGGTCAGTGTGTGGACTGAACCCGTCTCCACTGCGTGTCTCTATTTCTGATGTTCACTAAATATCCTCTGTTCTCACCCTCCGATCTGCAGCCTGGCGGTAAAGGAGCCCGTCCGCCTGAGGCCTACTGCATCATCAGCAGCCTGGCTTGTTTCGGCCTCTTCTCCAAGGTGAGTTCAACAGAGCATGTGATCCTTCCCATTACTCCTGATCACTTGTCTGTAAAAGTCACCATGGCAATCTTATTAGGTTGGACCTCGTAACTTTTACAGTCACTTTCAACGCGGTACCAGTCTGAAGTGCATGTGGTCACACTGACCAACAGATGAACAAGAGTGCGACGTACTGACGTAGGACATTGTTGTGCAGAGTGGGCCTACCAGTCACAGCAGTCCAGCTGTCTGCATGTTTCTTGTGCGTCTTTGTGAGTTGCTCCATGATTATTCTGGAGGATCCCCCTGAGGAAAAATGTCTCCTGGACCACACTCGTGTTCGTCCACCTCGTACCTCGTACATCAGTTGATGTACTGTCCAGCCTCGTGCATGTGGTAAATACTGTGCAGGTACCGTGGCTCAGTCTCTGTCACTGTTGTGGGCGTGTCTGAACGAAGCTGTGATGAGCGTTGAAACATGAAAGTGACCTATGTCTGAACAGAACGCCGTTGCTTTAACAGACTGAGGAAGCAGCAGTGTTACGTATCCCATGCCAGAAAAGGGAATCGGTGTTTGTCACTTTATTTCTTAATGTGGTTCACTCAGCTGTTGGCTGGTTCATTTCCTCTGACCTGAGGCAGAGGAGAATACATCTGTCAGTGTCTTCCTTTATTATTACCTGTCAAACAGTTTGTCGGTACGTACTTGGCAGATTCAGCTACTTAGACTTACAGCAGGATAATGGAGACTTGCCAAACTGTGGGTAGAAGCCCAGTAATTTGGTGCAATGTGTCTCTTGTAAACATTTTTTTAATTCAAGCCACTGACAACACAACACAAAAAGCTATTTATAGGGAGATATCTAGAGCACGAGTTGGGTCCCAGCGTAGACAGGTGCTGGAGAGTGGACAGATGTCCACACCCTCCCCGGGTGAACAGGACACTGTAGTTGGTTTTTGCACAACTGATCAGTAAAGAGTCTCCAGGCTGTAGCAGTGATGGTGATATTTTTCTTTCCATGCATTATGACAAAAGAAACCCTGGCAGGTTGTGCAGTGTGTTTGACGTAGGATCACTATGGTTTTATTGGTTTGCCTGGACATCTTTGTTGTGCACAAGTGAAAAGACACTTTCCTGCTCCTGTCTCGAGCCTTTGTCTGGCAGCTTGTGTTGTTACACTGAGCTCAGCTTGTGCTGACGACTTGGATCATTCACTAGGCAAGTTTAAACAGCAATTAGAAACTATTTGGGCCAGGCGGTGAAACACATTACTGTAATACAGAAAAGGACTTGCAGGGAGCTGAACTCTACAGACTGAGAGTCAAAATGATACGACACGTGGTGGATCTGTTTTCTACATTTTGTGCAGCTCAGAAAAGTGGGTTTTTCCAATGAATTGTGAAATAGTAATGACAGTGTATAACACAATCAGAACATGATGTTATTTGGTGCATGACATCTTACATGCAGTCTGCACCAGCTCAGCAACATCTGGCCCAAACATGCAGGTTACCATTTGTCCTTGGGTGCCATGGCTTTGTAAATTGTTGCATAATTTATATGTCCATTTAATAAAAAGCCCCTCCCCAATGGGAGGGGCTTTGAAAGGTTAAATAAACACAAGTCATTCCAAAGGTTAATGTTTTTCTGGCCACATCTTCGGGGAATGTAAATAGGTCATGAAGACTGAACGCCATTACGCCTGAAACGAACTGTGACCATGACTGTGGACTCCACCATCTGTTCAGCTTGTTTGGCTCAGACATTGTGATGCACTGACTCTTTAGACTCTTTAGTTTAGATCAAGTGTTTCAGGTTCACTGATTAACGTCTCTCTGCCTCCCAAACGTGGGGCTAATGTTACTGAGTATGCAAACGGGCTAGATATGCTGTGCTGAGCCAGTGCTTATAGGCACTAAAGATGAAGATACGTTGATGATGACAGCCAGTGCTTATAGGCACTAAAGATGAGGATACGTTGATGATGACGTCTGACAACCTGTGTCATATATGGAGCAAAGAGTGATTGGTCCTTACTGATGGGTTGAGTTTCTATTTGGGTCTATAAGCTGTGCTGACGATGGTCTTTTGACTGAAACATTCAGATTTCTATTCATTTCTTTTCACTTTGGCACTTGTGCACATATAACAAATGTACTTTTTTGTACATTTTTTGTACTTTCTTGGTTGTTTTGTCAGTATTTGGGCTTTGGGACATGCTGTTTTTGGCCATATACACTTGACACATCTCATGAAAGACCTGGAGATAGGAAGGCAAACCCTGCAACACCTTCTGATCTCTGACAACCTGCCACAGTTCTGCTGTGAACTGAGGCTGACTCGGTGTTTTCTGTGTCCTCACGTGATCCCAGACTGACTTCCTGATTTTGAGATCAGCGCTCTGTGGGGTCAGCCCATTTGCTGCAGGTCTCCTGGTTTCTAAACATAGTTGGTTACAAGTCCAGCTGGAGTTGAGGGCGCCACCCTGATGGTGTTGTGTGGTGGATGAACATACCCAAACCTTTAACAAAGTACTGTATGTTACCAAGCTGTCAGGGAAGGTCAGTGGTGACTTAATGTTAATACAGTAAGTGTATCAAGGGCGTCTCGCCTGTTAATTATTACCTGGGAGACGCACGTGTCGGGGAGTTCAGTTTGTTTACTGGCGTGCGTCACTTGGTGTAAGTGCGGGCCAAAGGTCAACAGGACCCAAATGTAGCTGTTAATAAATGACTAGGTTCTCTGAGACAGGCCAATAAAGAGGAAGCTGTGCACTTACTGGGCATTTGGGGGTTTTCAGGAACTGGATGCAGTTCACATTCTACAATTAAAAACTAACATGTTGTAATACTGAGAGAGACCATACTGCCTCTGTCCTCGCCTCATTACGTTGGCTGCTGATTAACTGGTTGGTTTTAAAATGTTATTTTTATTTTTAACATCGCACCTCATTACATTAGGGAGTCGCCGATGCCTTGTGAGCCAAAGCACCTGCTACTGTCTTTTTATCACCTTAAAAACATAAGCTAAAGTCGAACCTCGTCTGTTCGCGGTCACTTGGATAACTGTAATTCTGTGACATTTCTCTAAAGCCTACCAGCAGCTGATAAAGTGAGTGTGACTGTTTAGAGACTGACATGACTGTGTTGCTCTCCAAATGGAAACAGTGGTGAGGAATTTGCTTAATACTGGTAATTCCACCCCCTCAGTGTTTTTTCCATGGTCTTACTGGCTGTTATTTAAGAACATTGTATGGTGGAATTACAAAGAAACTTGAGAAACTGGTTACCTGTATTTGTTAAAACTGAGTTTTTCAAGGAAGTCATTCTACTGTTGTTTTTAAAAGGCTTGAAATGTAAAAATAATGAGTTGTGCGGCCCAAAATCCATGAGTTAATATCTTTGCGGGCACCAGGAGTCACTTGTGGGGACCAGCCTCCGGTCCCCACAATATAGTTGGCCAGATTTTAGGAAAACGGTGGAGTGTAGTCGGCTTTGGCTAAGGTTAGGGTAACTCTCCTGGAAATGAATGCAAGTCTATGTGGGGACCCAGTAAGTGACAGAAACAAGGATGTGTGCATGTGTGTGTGTGCAGATATTTGACGAGGTGGAGAAGCGGCGGCAGAAGTCCATGGCCATGATCTACCCATTCATGCAGAAGCTGCGCGAGGCTCCATTCCCAGCTCCCGGAAACACGGTGGAGATTAAGAGCTTCATTCCTGAGTCGGGCACTGAGGTTAGACCAGAACCCTGCTTGTGTTCATCACTGTTCACATCACGGCTGATGATGCACATGTCAGGAGTCTGTGCGCTTTTCTTTTTTAGTGTTATAGTAATCTATGCAGTACAGCCCAAATTGTAATAAACCAAAGTTTTTCTTTAAATTTAAGCTTTAAAAGGATCTGAAACGTTTGGCTTTTTGAAATCGAGCAGGATAAATGTGTTTCAGACAAATGTGAGTCCCATCACTGAGTAGCACACTAGGACTTCAGCAAAACTGCATTAAGGAAGTATGACTACATTCAGTGACACAAGAGGAAAACATTCAGCCGATAGTCTGACAGTTTTATCTGCAGGACGTCCTTGTTTCAAAGAACTGCAAATGAAAAAAGTTCCCAGCTCTTCAAATGTGATAAACATGAAGAATGGGCCAGTTTTCTGAAAGGTTGTGAAACAGGCAGGAAGAATGAAAAATGCTCTCACACAGAGCGGAGTGTAACCCATACGAGCGCCTCCAGGTGGGTGTGGTTGTGTGGAGCCGTGTCTGAACCTGCCTTACCCAACCTTTAGCTCAGAGCAGAAAACCAACACTTCTCCCTTCTGAACTCAAACCGCGTTTCACAGTCGTCTCAAGTATTCACAGATTCTGGCCATTGTTGGTGCTACAGTGAGTATGACGAGGCCACAGGGTGAAAGATGGTCCTCTGACCCTTGCTCATGATGGCAGTAAGAGTAATGAAAATCACTAAAGCCCCTGAGACAGTAACATTTCTTATTGGAAAGTCAGTGACTTCTAAAAGACACAAAACAACCACAAATAGATGCAAAGAGATGCAAAATGAACAGAACGACTCAAATCAACTACAAATAGAAGCAAAACAATCATAAAGAGTCGCAGAAAACCTACAAAGGTGCACAAAACAATTACACATAGACAATAAATGACTGCAAATAGAGAAAAATGGACACCACTGTGTTGTTTGTAGTCAGTTTGGGCTGTTTTTGGTTAAACCCACCATGATGGATGTGACTCTCCACTAGATCATCAGGCTGACCCGGCCGTTGGATTCCTGGCTGGAACACGTCAACTTCGCTAAGCTCTTCAGCTGCCTGACAGACAAGGAGGTGCTGCTGGTGTTTGCTGTCGCCGTCCTGGAGAGACGCATCGTTTTTATTGCTGATGAACTGGGGTATTAAATGCTCACCTGTACGATCACACAGAAAAAGAGTGAAACATTATGATGGCGTGACTTAAGCTGAACGCAGCTGCTTCTCATAAAAGAATCAATCTGCGCTCAATAACTCAAAGTGAACATGTGAATCTTTTAAAGACTGACAAGCAGTTTTGTCCAGTTAGAATGAAACACATTTAACAAAAACTGAAGGGGTCTGTGTGCTTTCTGAAGCCAGTGTACGCTTAAAGTTCTGACATGTTTATCTGTCTCCACAACCGCTAACAGCATACCCACACTGTCTCAACCTAAACAGCAGGAAGAACCAACCATCCTGCATATAAAAGCACAATATCTTTCTCTCCCTAGGAGGATTTTAATGTGAAAGCCCCCTCAGGAAGTCTTCACTTCAAATTGCAGTAATTTAACTTAAAAATGAGCAAAATAGAAGCAATTGGAATTAATCACTGAGTAAGAACAGCATGAGTGGCGACTGTGACCTCAGTCTGTTCTACTGATGGAATTGGTGCTGTGGAAATGTACATTAGATTGAATTTACCATGTGAACTGTTATAGTATAGTGAACCAACCCCCATCAGTTTTCAAAAGGTGATCTGGCTACTGAGAACTTGTCCATGGACAGTTTTGTCAGTCCTGATGTCGGTTCTCTTGTCTCGCTACAGCACGTTGTCCCAAGTCATTCATGCGGTAGCAGCCCTCCTTTACCCCTTCACTTGGCAGCACACCCTCATCTCCATTGTTCCAGAGATCCTGATCGACGTAGTGATGGCGCCCACCCCCTACCTGCTGGGAGTCCAGAAACACCTGCTGGACCAGGTCACCGACCAGAGTGATGTAAGTTAACACGGGAGACGCAACAAAACCCCTGTAAAAGGAAAATAACAAACTGGTTGCAAATACACTGTGGTAAATGTGAACAGCTGAGAACAATCCTGGAAAGAGACCTTCAGGTAAATATAGACGAGGACAGGTGGCGAGGCAGTGGCTGATGCTGGGTGGTCAGTCACAGATACAGCCGGCAGATTTACACACTACAGAATTACACACAGGTACGGTTGTACAGCGGTTAAGCTACAAAAACTGGGTCTCACTGATGACTGTTCCTGTCGGAGGTGTCGAATCCAAGCAGGTTCTTCATTTGATGTGGGATTGTTCTTTTGCCCAAGTCCCAGAAACATCCTAAAGAGACTAAAATATGACCTCAATCGACCAGGTCCCATCTTTGTTAATGGGAGGATGCAGTGGCAACGTCTTTCCACTTTGCGTAGACTAGTCGGGGGTGGGGGTCAGATACCCGGGCTTTGGAGTGACCTGATTACTGCCATGCATATAAATGCGTTATCTGATTTCTGCTGTAATCTGATTACTTAAGTCATCATCTGGGCTCGTGATAATTACCGACACACTGGCTCCTTTGATTCTCTAATTACTAGTAACGACCAAGGCAGGTTTTATAAAGTCTGGTCTAACTGTTTAAAGTATAAAGAAGGAAGTGTAACTGAATAGATTCCTACCTTATTTAATAACGGTATCCCATACCTGTTAGACTGGGATATTATTTTATTTATACTCTGTGCCTGCTTCTTTTTTTTAAATTATATTTGTGTTTGTTGTACTCGAACTGTATGTTGTAGGTGTCCAGATACGTTTAGTTTTAGTTGTTCTTACCTGTTCTTCTACCGTATTGTGATGCATTAAGCATATCGAGTGTTACATTTTGGGGAAAAGTCACAAAAACACGAATTACTAAACAGCAACAACAATAATGTTTCTTAATTTCCACAAAGGCAGGGTTTGCATATTTCAGTGACATTACTACTGAACTCCTGGTGCAGTGACCTTCTTTTCTGTCCGTTTCTTTCTGTTACACAGCTGCTGGTGGTCGACTTGTCTGAGGACAAAAAGCAGACCTTCATTGTTTCCGTAAGTGTTTTATCACCTAAAATATCAGAGTAAATAACATTTTGATTATTTATTATAATTTTAAAATTCCCTGAAACTATTATGTCAAAATAAAACTGTAAACTCTACCTTCTCCAGATTGGTGATGAGAGCTCTATCCTGCCTCCGAAGCTCCAAGCTGAAATACTAGAGGAGCTAAGTAAGAGGCAAACAGCATCAAGTGAGTAAACTGCAACCAAAACCAAACACACATGTCGGTGCAGGAACACATGAATCACTAAGTCTGCCTTTTCTTTTAGCGGTGGAGGAGCTGAACCGAGTGGTGTCGGAAGCCTTCCTGCAGTTCTTTGTGAAAACAGTCGGCCATTATGAGCCGTATGTGAAGTACGGTCGTGCTGGACAACAGGGCGTGTTCGAAAAGAGAAGTTTCTACAAGGCCATCGAGTCCAAGACCACGCGACACTTCGTCAAGAAGTTCATCCAGACACAGATGTTTGACCTGTTTATCCAGGAGGTGGAGCAGAATCAGTCTGGACCTCATCAAGGTGAGGACTGAACGCATGAAGGTTTGTGTGTGATGACATCATGCGTCTGTTTCTTCCTGTGGCAAATTCAGCAGCCTGTTGACTCCACCACCGAAAAAAAAAAATCTGACGTGTTCTCACCATTATGGCTAAGGATAATTATGACAGAGTCATAGTTATGACCATTTGATCTCAGGGTTGTGGTGTAAGAAAACTCGGAAGCTGGAGGACAGAGGGTATCTCCCCTCTGAGCTGCTCGCTTTACTGCATTCATCACCAAAAGTTAATTTTTAGTGAAACCATGAGTGCCATTTCTTAACTAACCTGTCAGTAAGTTTCACTTTCACATCTGCTCAACTGAAATTGTCTGGTTGTCACAATCACTATCATGAGTTACTGAGTGTTGTAACAACGTCATGTTTCTACAGTGCACTGATTCATGCTTCTTTGTCCTGCAGGAATATTTCACAAAAAGATTCTCGAATACCAAGAAAAGAAGAAACGGGACAAGACAAAGAAACACTAGCTGTTAGCACCCAGGTGTATATAAAGAAGTATATCTGTTTATTTTAAGTGCTGTGTCAGGGTGTTTTCAGATGTCCCGGTGTGTGAATTACTGTATGGCTGTGTTGCTGCTACTCTGTGAAGCGCTGGCATGATGCGTTGTCAGTTCCTTGGCCCTCAGCCCGTGGCCACAGTGTGTCGCTAATGAGCAGGAAAATCATTTCAAATAAAGACTAGTTTTTTAAGCCCATGTACCTCCAGTCTCTGTTTTTAGGAGCCAGGCACCAGTAGCTGCTAGGCTTTTGTTTGTTGGCAGGTTTCTGTCCATCTGTATACCTGTGTTAATCTGTCTGTTGTTTCTGTTTTCACTCCATCTTTTTCATATTTATGACTGACAACTAAAATCTCTTTCTTTTCCATGATCAGAAAATTGGATAAATCCTGAACATAGTTCATGAAATATGCACCATATACACTCATAACACATTGCTAAAACCCTTAAAATCTACAAAATTATAAATAAAGACACAGTAAGAACACAACTTCAGTAGTTAATGCAGAACAACAAACACTTTAACAACTTTTCTCAAGCAATTTCCCAGTAATTGGCTTTTTTTTTTTTTTTTTTACAAATTATCTTTACAAATGATATATCAACGATATTGGCCCCATACATTTTAAAATTCAGACTGATATGATTAAGTGTTGGTAGAACAATTTTGATTGAAGCATTAGAATCAAATGCTGAACCTGTACATATGATGGATAGTTTTAGGCTGTGATGAACCGCTTTCTGCTGAAGAGTCATTACTCTATACTATAGCACAAACATTGTCCTGATAACATTATTGGTGATTGATACTGCACTTATAATATGATTTGTTATATTATATGACTAATTACATAGTATTCTCATAAGAGAAATGTTATATTCCTTGTCTGATGCAGTCCTTCTTTGGTTTGGTTGTGAATAGTTACACATACGGTCTTACTACTACATTTTCTGCCAGTAAATTCTGCTGTTTAATTCTGTAGAATAGGGATTCATATTTGTTTATGCTGTAAATCCATGTGTACGTCAAGAGCCTCAGCTCTTTGCAATTTATGAGGGAGAAGCAATTTCTAAGCTGTAAAATCAGCACTGTTCCAGAGTAAAGCTTTATATGGGGAAGAACTGTGAACATCTTTCAGGCTAAAAGCACTTGCTGGTGAAACTGTGGCAGCTTAACAGGTACTGGCAGAATATTACAATATAATAAAAAAAATTTAGGCCACCAATTTTGTTAAAAGCAAGGTACTATGAAAAACTATACACTTTGAGTGGGTTAACTTGAATATGGCGTGGGAATCTTCTCCCTCTGGTTTCCTGTTTGCAACTACTGATTGTTTCAACTTTTAGCATGCTGTATTTTTCCATATTTTTTGATTTGATTTGATTTATTCTGTAAAATTTTATTCACCTGCTTGCTTTTTTTGTTTGTTTATATAAGTGCAGTCTTGTACCAGTGGTGACCTGCCCATATGGCCTTATAAGACCACAGCCAAAATGGCCACATGATAAACCTCAGTACCACAAACACAAAAGAAGAACATTACAAAAGATTTACTTCGCTATTAGAATTGTCTCACACTAGTGTTGAGGAGTAGTGAACTACATGTAACTAGCAACTTGCTGGTAGTTGAACTACATAGTGATTCAAGCTGTTATTTACTTTTTTGCTGTTTTTTTGTGTAGCTAACTACTGAAACTACAAACAATTCGGGGTAATAAATTTAATGGAATGGTCTTTTGATTTGTTTACAAGAAAAATACAGCATTCTTTGCAGTATTGTCCTTATTAAAAGCCTAGATGAGATTGTTTCATTTAGGACAGGTTTAGGTTTCAAGGTTATTCCAAAAAGCTGGATTGTCAGCTCACACGTGAAAAATATTTGGCTATAGAATTTTATAATTTCTGATTTTCAGAAATATCTTTGTATCAATCTGTCTCAGCCAGGCAGCAGATTAGTGGTAGAGTGTCAATTCTCACCTGAGCACACAGAAACCTCTGCCTTCTCTTTAAACGGAATTTTATATCTGTTTTTGTAGTGATGTTTGATTTAAAGATTTAGTTTGACCACCTTTATAGCACATTGCAAATTACTCCTAAAGATAAGAATGAAAGAAAGAGAACATAAGTACTAGAATTAACAAATAAAGATCATTGACATCTCTTTATAACCAGTTATTACAAATAGTTTAACGCTTCAGTTTATTTACACATTGAGGACGTAGGTTGGACACCATATATAAATCTACGTTTGGCCACTAGGTGTCGCGTTTCAAAACGATGATGACGCAACAGTAAACCAGAGGAAGCGAGGAAGAAGAGCAGCCACCGCACCTTTGACAAAGGTAAGCGAACAAAACTATGAAAATACAAACTTAAAGGACTAGAAGACAATTTGTTAAAGGTTTTGTTTATTTGATTATCCTACTAAATGGATTGCGCACGTCCTGTGTCTCGTAACGTTTTATTTTATAGCAAACAACTCCAGCTATTTTAGGAGATAAGTAGCTAGCGCTGACCAGCTAACTTTTCTTTAGCTTTTCGCTTTGGGTTAACTTCAGGTTGTCAAGTATGTGAGAATGAAAACAAGAGTTTCCGGTAACCGCTTTCACAATAAGATGTGTTGTGATGAACAGGATGAAACGATCGTTTATGTAAAATGCTGCAGTTGTATTTTGAAAGGCGTATCCGATGTAATTAATACTTTATTTGCAAACTTGACACTTCCAGGAACTTTGATAGCTAACGAGCAAGCTAACTAATGTTAGCAGGTTTAGGGATTTGTTTTAAGTGGCTACGAGCCAGCAGAAAATGTGTAAACTTACCTTATAAACTGAATTAACATGACGTTAAAGCACACTCGTCGTTAGTTTAAGCTACTCAGTGTCTATAACAATTTATAGTTGGGGTAACATTAGTTTATAACACTAATGACAATCTTGTAACCGAAGCGAGCAACTTGTAAGGCTACGTGTTGTTGACATTGGCTGGGTCGGTTTTTGACAAGAGCTAATCAGACTAGCTAAACTTCATAATTGAAGTTTTATGAATAGTCACACGCACTGTATACCTTGATGATTTTCAGGAGAACACCAAAATGAACGTGGCAGTTCTGTACAAAAGTAAAGTTTAAATGACTGACATTGAATTACCAATGTTGTTGGTGATTCTATGTATTCGCTTATATCCGAATATCACGTAAATGTGACCGTGTTTCTAAGAAAACCACAAACGTAGATGACTCTTTCACTAACTTAGTTTTTGGGGTCAGTCAAGG